CGCTCAACACCTCGGTGGTTGGCATGGCTGGCGACGTGGCATCGGCATACCGCCACATGAGCGCCAACGAACACTGCTGCGCCCCCTTCGGCCTCTCCATCCCGTCCCTCGACATCATTGGTTTCGATCTGTCGGCTCCGTTCGGCTGGTGCGGCAGCCCCAACATTTACTGTTCCTTTGGAAACGCAATCTCATGGCTGGTTTCACGTGAATCACCGGCGTCTATTGCACCCAGCAGCTCCAGCGACACGTCCTGCTTCTGGGGATACAACTACATCGATGACCATATTCTTATTGAGCTTGATACGCCGCATCGTACAACCTCAGCAGAGGCAGCCCTCAGACTATCCATACTCGCAACACTGGGTCCAACGGCAATCAATGAGAAGAAATTCACAAAATGGACGAGTCATCTGCACGCGCTCGGCCTCGACTGGGACCTTAACAATGCCAGCGTCTCGATGCCTCCAGCCAAAATCGAAAAGGCACGAGCACGAGTCAACAACATTCTTGATCGCGGGAAGGCCACCTCTGCTCCTGTATCCCACCCGCGCGAGCCTTCTACCAAGAACTCCAGTGCCAACTCCGCCAGATGAACGGTTCCACCACTACAACCTCGATATCAACTCCAAGCTTGACTTGCAGTGGTTCGCAAACATGCTCACCCGCAACTTGCTGCAAGGTGTCCCCACCTCACTGTTCGCCCACGAGTCAACACCTTCTCGCACTCTCACAATGGACGCCAGCGACGAAGGGCTCGCAATCGTGGACAGCACCTGTCGCAGGTTCATTGTCCTCCGGTTCGACCACTCCAAACTCGCGCTGATCAAGCATTTCAAGTACAGCCAATTATCCGGTCGTCTGCCCAATCACAGCGTACCCAGCACGAGCCATATCCGGCCCACACCACGAGACGACTGGTTTTCCATCAATGTCCGCGAGCATTGGTGCATCGCACTGGCAATTGCAATCTGGGGCCAAGACCTCGCTGACCCTGCTGGTGCCCGCACGATCCACATCCAAATCGCAACGGACAACACGACCGCACTCGCCTGGTCCAACTCTCTATCCAGCACCAACACGTACGCTCGCGAACTCAACCGATGCCTCGCTCGTCATCTCGCACTCAACCGCCTACACGTGTCAGCAACCCACATCCCAGGGCACCTCAACGTCCTCGCCGACGCCGGCTCGAGATTGAGCAGTCCACACCACCGCCAGCTCTGGACGGCGTCAACCAAAGGATGGTCGCAAACTCTGGTGCCTCCCACCCAACGCTACCTGTACCTCCCGCCAGCGCGCGCTGCAACTCGCAGCTTTGGCACCAAGCTCCAAACAGCGCTACATCACGATCTGGAACGAATGGTGCCGCTACGCTACGTCAAAGAACTTCCATCCCATCCTCGATGCAAAATGCGAGATACACTCCGCGAGGCTCCTTCAATTCGCCAAACACCTTTGGCACCCAGCAATCTCCAACTCTGCCCCCACAATCAGAGGAAAGCTATCCATCGTCTCGTGGTTCCACCAGTGCCACTCCAACTACGCAGTCGGCCTCACACGCTCACACAGCATCGAGTTTGCAGGCCTTGCCCGCCTACGACATGACAACCTCGCCAAAGCACCAGCTACCATTGCCCTTCGGAGCTCCCTTGATCTCTCCATCACCCACGACCGAGTCTTGTGGGGCTCTACGGTCCTGGCTTATTTCTTCCTTCTACAGCGCTCCGAATACCTTGCAACCGACGGGACTTACTCCCAGCACTCCATCCGCCAGCGCGACATCTTATTCCTCGATCACAACGAAAGACAAACAACAAACTTAAGCGACGCCGCTGCAGTCCAATTGTACATACCATCCTCAAAGACGGACCTAGTGGCAGCAGGAACACACCTGGTCCTAACCCGCTCAGGTTTGCCATGGCTTTGCCCCGTGCTGGCGGGTTGGCTGCTCTACAGTTTGGGGATTGCTCGGGGCGCTGCCCCAACTGAAGCGCTCTGCTCCATCACAGCCCAGCAACACCTTACTTGCGAAGCACTTGCAAGACAAATCAAGTCCGCTGCCGCCTCTATCGGCAAAGACCCCACCAAGTACTCGACGGACTCGCTTCGCAGCGGCGGCGCAACTGCGCTCTTCCGCGGAGGTGCATCGGATCTCTCCATCCAACGGTTTGGCCGCTGGAAGAGCGACGCATACAAGCTCTACACCCGCATCGACCACCCGTCAATCGGTGCTATGGCGGCTCGCATGGTGTCCACACCATTCTCCATCGAGGCTACCGCCACGCCACACCCTTGGCTGGCCGGGCAATAACTACTCCTTCTTGCCCCTGCGATTGCGTGTGTCTCTCATCTGAAAATGGCCTTATGGTCAAACTGACCCCTGGGAAATACATACATTTCCCTTGTTGGTGCACCTTGGACCTCCCGCCTCAGCATCATCCGCCCACAGAAAACTTTTCACTCTACCTCGGCTTTGGTGAGTGGCTCGACCACACCATCTCGACTGCCATCGCTCATTCCTTTCAACAGAAACGAAGCATTGCATCTTGTTCTGCTCGTCAAGAGGTATACTGATGTCCTCTCGAGCAAAGACTGAAAGTTGCGAGCTGTCGTGGCATGATCGTGCTCACGCTGCCGAATCGCTAGCAATGAAGTTTCGCAAGGGAGGAAGAGCCCACTTGACGACTTCTACGCTCGCTTAACCACTACTTTTGGTTGATCAGCAATCGAATGCTTCCCTCTCGACTTCCATTCGGAGAGATAATCCTAGTCAAGTCTACGTCAACGATGGACACAGGTTTTACCAGTTGCTCCCCCACTGGAGGAAAGCCCCCCTGCAATATCACTCAAAAGACAAGAGTCGAGTCACTCGGGCGTGTGCTTAGCGACCTCTCCGTTTCGCGCAAATGTTCTACAGTATGGAACAATACAGTACCGCCCACCACCATGTCCCAACGAGATAGACTAGCGATCGACATCTTTCCACGAAATATCCAGTATTCTTATACTGTATATTTGCCTTGAAATTGATCATACAGACAACTCACAGTTGGAGAACACGATTTCTCCTTCAGCCACAGTGCTGGTCTTAGATTCAACCTCTCCTCTTGAGAACATAACTTGTTTTTATTAATAGTATATGTGATTTAGGGCTATTGTATGCACATTTTGGCACCGTATTTGTGTCTGCAATATGCACCAATCCAGCTTTTCAACATGAGTGGAGAATAACACAAAAGACCTTGGCCATGATTCAGAGAGTATTTAAGATCGCAGGCTTCGACTTGACATCACTCTTGTCAAGGAAAGAGTGCTGGAACTTCCAATGTCAAAAAAATCTGATCCTATTAAAAAAGGTTATTGGTTCAAGTCCAATACTACTCCATCCAACTTCCGAAGTCAGGATTTTATTTTAGGAAAATCCAATCTAACATGTCAGGTTTTCCTTCTATTGGTCAAAATGAAAATAGATCAGCATACATTGGACAAAATCAAATATGAACGGCTTGCAAAGAGGCAGACAAAAGAGCTTCAGCTGGCCAGCTCAATGGGCCATCAAGTTGACCAAGGCGACGCTTTCGTGGCTTGTTGACATGTTTGAGCTTGTAACAATTGTCACCATCACATTCGACGATTGATTGCATCACTCCCTGGAGTGTAATGAATACATTTTCTACAGTCGCAACTGGTAAGGCATCAAAAGCAGATCTCACATTCCGAATCTGCTCGTCCATTGTAGTCGACGGCATCTTGAGCTGTTTCGCTTGCATTGCGTTGAAGATACCCAAGTCCAATATGTTTAAGTCGGGACTGTTTGGAGGTTGCATTCCAAAGACAATCTCGCGCCCATTCTTCAAGCAAGCTTGAACGACATCCGAGTCGGTCTCAACGCCGTGGGGCGAGGCATTGTCGTGCTGAACAAAGATCATACGCGTGTCTGATGGAAACAAGGCATGAATTCTTGGTAAAACTTCGTCAATCAGGAGCTTCTTGTAGGACTCCTTGGTCGCAGCGATCGCTTTCATTTCAATGGTACCAGCAGGGCGTAGACGGCTTGAACGCTTTGCAGGCACAGCCTCGAGAAACGGCCATACACCAATCTTGCCGTCGAACGCAGCACCATTCACAGTACGTGGGCGAGCAATTCCAGTGAGAAACATGACCTTTGGCAGGAAGCGCTGGTTCTTTACCGGCAGATTAGGTACATCTTCCCAGGGTGCAAGACAAATTTTGTTTCTAATCTTGCGCATATAGAACCATTTCTCGTCAAGAAAGACATGGTCAGTGAATTGATCATACTGAGCATCACCGTTTGACAACGTTGAAAAGGACAGGCAGTAATTCAGTCGAGCCTTCTTGTTCTCGTCCGTCAACAATGGACGTGCTTTCGATTTGCCTTGTACAAGCTCGCCGTTCTTGATCCTCACGTGCAACGTTGACTTTGGCATGGATAGAGCAGCTGCCATCGTTGCCAAGTCTTGACGTTTTATCGGTGATAGCTTTGAAACCCGCACTTGAAACTCTCGCACATCCTTTTCTGTTCGTCGCTTCTTGCGTCTGATGGCAAACGATTGTTTGGATTCCCCCTTTTCCCATACGCGCATGATGGTGCGCTCGCAAACACCATGGACTCCCGCAAGACGCTTTATTTCGCCATACTTCGGCTTACCACTGGACGCGTTCATAGTAAGTTGTGCATAAATTGCGACTTTGGAACTCTCAGAAAGGATCTTGCGCTCCTTCATTTTCGTTGGAAAATGATGCAATGACTTGCCTATACTTTAATCAAGTATATATGTTTCGTTGCATGTTTCTTGTGTGCCATGGCGCCAAATTTCACGATAAAGGCGGCAAACGAATCGCCTTGTATTGCTGAACTCATTTCTACCAATGAAATGACGAGAAAAAATTTCCTCGATTTTTGATGACTCTTCCAATGAAAACCTGACTTCGCAAGTTGGATGGAGTAGTAGCAGGTATAAATAATAAATAATATTATCAAAGTAGTGGCATTGGTAAACACGTTACACTTAGGATGTAAAATTTAAGGGTTCGAGTCCCTTCTTTGATATTTCATTTTTATCTAATATAACAACATTGTAACCTGCATAAAGTTTGTAATTGTACACGCCATAAAGGAATATGACGATTATAGCTGTTCGGTGGAGAGTTTTGACTCCAAATCTCTATTCCAAACATACAAATTGTATAGAAAAAAGTCTTGGGTAGATCAAATTGATAAGTCGTCAGGGTTCTTGTGTTCTTCAGTCCACCAATTGGGACGTAAGAAAATTATACTTGGTTTTTATATACTTCATTTTTCTCCAAGAAAATTGGTGCCTTCAAATGTGAGCGACAAAGCCCTAAACACAATTGTCCTACGGTGTCGATACAGTGCAGACGTCGTCTGTTCGTGGACGTGACTGTACTGCGTGGACGATGTCAGATATCAGGCACCCATTTCTGTTCGAGAACTTGCCAGAGTCGTCCCGTTCTTAGTCCAACCACACAAAATGTGGTTGGGACTTGCTTTGATTTCGCAGTGAATAATAGCCTGCCTACTCGGAGTACACATTTGTCGGTTCTGCGAAATTAATGCAAGTCCAATGTGCAACGAGACGACTCTGACAACGTCTCCCACGTAGCTGGGACAACATGGGCGCCTGTTTCTCAAACGCAATTCTGCTGACGCCATGGAGTCTGCTTGAAATGTAATTGGCACCCATGTGCTCCTTGCTTGTTGTGTGGATGCTGCCAGGTTTCGTTTCTTCTTGACATTGTGGAATTTGCCATTGAAAAGCAGGGTCGATGCGTGTTTGGACCGTCCTCGCCATTGCTACGAGTGCTGTCGTGGCTTTCAGCCGACGAAGCCAAGACTCACAAGTTGTGATGGCTCACCAAGGTGCCCCGTGATGGCTCTTGCTGTGTCTACTTCACCTTGGAAAGTACGAAAAATAGTCTATTTTGATTGGATAAAGTTGAAAATAATAAATTCTGATTGGCTATTGAAATTTTTCATTACCCAATCTGTGCAACTAAAGTGGCCAATCAGAATGCATTATTTACAATTGTATCCAATCAAAATAGAGTATTTTACGTACTTTCCAGTGTGAAGTCCAGGCAACAAGTGCCATCACACTGCATGGCAAAGTTTGAACTCTCTGTGCCGATTAAAGAATTATTTTGAAAGTTCATTAGATAGCGCTCGGCATGATAGCAAAGCGCGCTTCCATCCAGGCTCAATGTTACACGAACCAGTCATGCAATGTGGACAACGAGAAGCTTCCCGATGTTGGTGCGAATTTGCAATTGAAAAAGATGGTTGGATCTGTGTTTGTCGCGGTTGAAGCGGATGAATCTTCAGGATGACAACATGGCTTGAGATCTTCACCCAGCTCTCTCAAGCCGCCGATTTCTTGGCAATTATTTTTCCTGTTGATCACACTGTCGGATGTGACTCCATTGCTTTAAAAAGGTGTGAAACTCGTTGCAGCAGTTGCTTGTTTGCCATCTCTTGATAGTTTTCAAACAACGCTCGGACATTGTCGTTTGCCAGATCGCGGGCTGTTTTGCCATCCTGATGTTGACCATGAGTTTGAGTTTGTCGTGACGAACTGTGATCCAAACCTTATTTCTCAATAGTCTCTTGGCGCGCGCATCCAAGAGCAGTTGCAACACTTCGACTTGACCGTTCGCGAACGCAATAGCGCGTCCAAGTTTGTGAGTCTAGCCCAGTGAAGTTAGAAAACAAGTCACGTCTTGATGGACCTTATTCGTCGAATTGACTGACGGGTCATTCTCATGGACAAATTCCACTTTGGCGTTTTCGGCAGCGAGGTGGAGTGGAGTGTCGCGATTCTATGCCAAGTTCATGAAATCCTGCGTTGATTCAATAGTTTCGCCTACCTTATTCGCTGCATCAACAGGAGCACCGTGATCAAGTAGCACCTTGACAATCGTAGTGTGTCCATTGGACGCAGCCCAATGCAGCGAAGTGAAGCCGTCCTATATCAATGAGCTAACTCGCGAGTAAGGAGTTCATCAACAATATTCGAATGTTCACACCACGTTGCCGTAAGAAGTGGAGTGTTCATGTTCTGTCCCATGAGTCAGACACATTTTCATGCCTTGCGTTACATTGTCTTTCGCGTCGAGATCTGCTCCATGTGCCACCAACTCGTTGAAAACTTGCAAGTGTCCAAAGTACGCAGCCTCATGAAGAGGAGTCTTTCCCATCTAGATAGCCAAATTCACATGTCGATATATGTTGTTGGCAATGGATGGCATTTTTGACATTTATTGCACAGCCTGGAGCCAGCAGCGCTTTCACAATTTGCAATGATCCTTTCGCTGAAGCGTCGTGGAGAGGCGTGTCGCCATTCTGAAGATTCCAGACGAGACGTTGGTCAGATCTCCATGGATTCAAGTAGTTGTACCTGATTAGGACTGCTGATTGAAGCGGCATGTGCCAGCGATGCCTTAGCGACAAGGTGTCGTCCCCTGGATGAAGCCAAATGCAATGGAGTACTTGCATCCTATCCGTTGAATATTGTCAGACGGACATTGAAGCTTTCACACCGCATTTCTTAATTCGACAGAAAGTCCGTGAGCGAGTAGTTCGTTCACAATTCTCAAATGTCCATTGCGTGAAGCAATATGCAACATCTGTCTAGTCAAAGAGGAATAGGCGACTCAAAATTCCCACTGCCTTGCTGTACCTTGTCTGCAATCTTGACCCATGGGCTAATAATTCCGTGACTATCTCGAAATGGCCTTGTCTTGCGGCGTGGAGCAATGGCGTTTCACCGATCTATTCCATTCACGGATGTGAATTCGAGACGAGCGTATTCAACGTACTGCGTCTTTGAAATTGACGTCTAAGTCTTGGCCAAGCAGAGCACGCACGCTGTCGACATGGCCATTTTTTGCAGCCACGTCGAGCTCCGCTTCCTTCCAGGCGACTGTCGTGTTTGCATTCATGATGCACTCCAGTTCCCCGTTGGAAAAACTCAACTTGCTCGTCTGCTTTCAGATTCGAGGCTGACATTTATTCACACTTTTGAAATGTCCACAGCTACAAATGTCGGCGTGGAAAGCGTTCCAGCCAGGTATCTCTCGTGAGCTCAAAAGTATACCGCGAGACCGTTTTTAGACTTTTTAGACGACCCTTTTCAGGCGCTGAGAGGGCCCTCTCTTTGCTTTTTCGTGAGTGACTTATCAACGATCAGACGACGCCTGGAATCCCAACGAGCGCCCAACCAATCGAGACTTTGTCCAAACGGCAAATCACGCGCCGCAGCTGGTAAATAACCTCATGGTAGGAAGGAAGGTGTGCATCGCGTGAAGCTTTCTCATGTGGATATTGTGATGCAATATATATGGTGAAAGTAGCAGCAGGAAAGGTTGGCTCCACAGAGGTCACGCCAATGTTGACCAATTTGCATTATTACCCAGGATAGTGCAGTTCTTCCTGGTGATAAAGCCAATCTCATATCTTCTGAACTACAATGCGACGTGATGATGGAGTATGCAATCGACCATATCGATAGTTTCTCTGCAACTGAGTCATCCCGCGACGAGGGAAAATTGTCGATTCTATGTTTGAAAATGTGCTTGCCGAGAACAAACGGCGTCTCTTCCTCCTGGACGAGTAGTAGGAAGGCAGACGATGGAAAGACCAACTTGTACTCTTTTCCTTGTGCACCGACGAAATCATCGTTCACGCCGACCGTCAGAAGAAAAATCCAGTGGCGGAGCAGAGTTTACGTGCAGGAGATGACTTTTGAGTCATTTCTTTTCTATCCTACCGAGAAGACATGGCAGGATGGAGGGCAAACTTATCTTAATGTGAAAAAAGCGAGTCGTTGCGCTCCCTTTTATGCTCATGGCGAGGATATCTTGTCTACAATTCGGCAGTCTCGATGCTGTAGATGTGACGCTGATTGTCGCTGGAGAGCGGTCGTCGCAATGAAAAACTTTGAAAGGATGTTGTGCTGCACATTCTATTATCAAAGGACTGTTTACGATGGCATGCAATGCATATATTTGCGATTCTCATGAGTAGTTGCTTGTTTGCACTCTCTTGATACTTGTCAAACGACGCTTGGACATCGTTGTTTGCCAGATCGCGCGCTGTTTTGCCATCCTAATTCACCATTAGTTTGATGCCAAACCTAATAGGTTTGGCAAAAAGATATAGTTAAAAAAGATAAAGGTTTAACCTATATCTTATTCCTCAAAAGTCTTTTCGCACTAGCATTCAAGAGCAGTTGCAATACATCTACTTGGTCGTTCAACGAAGCCATAGGAAGTTTGATCCCAACAGCATCTTGACAACCTCAACGCGCTTTAGCCATGCAGCATGATGCAGTTACGTCGCGCCAGACTACCTCAGGCAAAAACTTAACGTTCGATCTGACATTCTGAGGCTGTATGTACTTCGTCAACCACGTCGACTTTCGCCCCATGAGCTCAAAGTTGCTCAACTACCTCAAGTTGTCCTTTGCTTGCAGCCCGATGCAGTCGAGTGAGGCCTAGCTGGTCCAAAAGCTTCGACAAGCCTCGTTATTCTATGTTTTACCTTGTGTTTGGTGTATGAATTGACACACCATGCGCCTTCAACTCTTGGACAATATTCCAATGTCCATTCCGTGAAGTCAGTTGAATTGGCGTGTCTGTAACCCCCTTGGAGAAATACCAAGTGACTACAAAGCCAGAGGTTGTCTGACTGTGTCTTCGGCGTGGACATTCGCGCCTTGTGCTATTAATTCCTCGACAACATCCAGTGGTTGGGCTAAGAGCTCTTGGACCACTTCCAAATGTCCCCTTTCCGAAGCGCCATGGAGAGATGTATCCCCAGCCTAGTAACATTTGAATCTTCTTACCGAATTGGTGACGTCGATGGCAGCACCACGAGCTAGTAACTCCTTGATAACTTTCAAATGTCCATTGTAAGAAGCCATGTGCAGTGCATTCCAGCCGTCCTAGCAGGGCAAAAAGTTGCTAATTTATCTTGTTTTACACTTTGTACCTTACTTCTTAGCTCAAGGCCAGCGCCACGCGTTAGTACTA